TATGTTTGTTAGCTAGGGAAAAAAAAGTTTAAAACATGAAAATAAATTTTCTCTGTGATTTTACATCTCCTCAAGGTATTTAAGAAATTGACCAATGAAGATGCTCAAAAGATTCAGTCAACCAACTGACATTGTGCAAAAACAGATAGAAGAAAAAAAGAGTAGAAGAATAGTCAGCAGGTCCATAATTCCATATTGAGAGAAACTTGAAGTCTAAGAACAGTTAGGTAAAACTAGGACCTACATTTAGGAGGAGATATTTTGAGATATGAAGTTTCCTAATTAATCTACAACCTCATGCAGCATTGACTTCATGGTGGGCCTTTGCAGAGAAAGATATGTCACATTAAATACGTGCAATGTTTCAGAAAGATGGCAGAGTGACAACTCTCTAAGGTGAAATCCTCTACCTGGTTAATAGCAAGAAGAGTTCAGCCCAAACAGGAGCTCAGAAAAACTCTGTGCGCTTCCAATAAACATAATTAAACCTTATTTTTTTGTGTTAAAATAAGAAAGTCTCAGTAAGCTTCCACTGCTTTTCAAGTCCTTAGTCCGAAGATGTGATTTATGCATGGGAAAATAAAAAAGTTGTAATCAATTACTGTGTTTAGGTGTTATCTCAGGTCTTAGAAAGCGATGCTGCAGATCTAATGATGCTTTGGAAAAGTCATGTATCTGCCAGGGAGATTACTGAAGTTCCTGAAAGTCACATGTTAACTATGTTTAGTTTCTTTGTGATAAAATAGATACTCTGGGTTATTAAACATGAGCTATATTAAGCATTTCGTTACTAACGACATCTTGTTTCTTCATGGTTTGCTCTTTATCCTTGTATTTAAGATGCTGTCATGATTATTTTTTGTACATATTCATCACTGAGTTGCGGCCAAAGTGATGGGATTCCTCTAATCTAAACTTTACAAGCCTACAGTGCAGCAATTTAGATGACAAACTCAGTTCAGATTCCCTTTGTAGCCAATGGAGAGATTTGGAGTGTGATAAGGCATTCCTTAGGGACAGATGAGTTGTCCTTGCGCTGACGTGCCTGTTACTCTTCATGGACAATAAAGGGAATGCAGGTGTGGAATTAATGTAACTAAAAATAGATGTCATCCCATAACTTTCAACTAGTGAATATATACGTTAATAGATGTATTCAGTACGTACCCAGGGAGTTTACAACAGGAGCCACATTTTCTTATATAGGCATCTATAGCAGGCAAGAACTATGAGTTAAAATTGCATTTTTCTCTGCATTGGCTTTAGAGAGATTGTATTAACAATTTCAGTATAGATATCTACACAACATATGTCCAAACCTTGGTGAGGTTAATGTTGTTCCAAATGACTGCCACAGACCTTGATGTCTTCACTGCAAAAGTTTATACTTGATCAAATTAATTTCAACTAAGACTCCACATTTAAACTGAACAGTTCTCTTCCTTTGAAGAGACAGGCCTAAAAAGCAAAACTACATGGTTTTTCTTCAAAGGCTGTAGTTTTGAAGACCTTTTGCTTCTTTCGACAGTCTCTGAAATGCTGGGTGGTGAGAACCTCTACGACCAAGGGAACAAACTCTTTGCTAGAGTGAAAGTTATTCTGTACTTTATTCTTACCTTAATAGCACACAGTGTCATGTGTCAAATCTCATGTAAGTTGCAACAGCTTTCTTGAGCTACACAACTTTGCAATTAGTCCAACAGAAGCAGCTACACAAGACACATCTTCAGTGCAATGGAGATACCTGGAACCGATGGGAGAGTAAGCTCTAAGCTCCAGTTTGCACCTCACTCTCAGAGACAGAAAAAAGAATGGCAACCACAAATTTCCTTACACAATTGTTTCTGGAGCTTCAGATCCTTTCATGTGGAGGTCTCATGTTTTCTGATGGCCTTCTTCATTCATTCCAAATGATGTCATCACATACCCAGCTCAGCAGTTCTTACAGTTATGTCTGCAGGTTCTGAATCTAGAGATATATCTTTGTCACATCCCATTCACAGAAGCTGGAAGATGACTTGGAACCCATTGGTCCTTATTATCTACTGCACAGTTGATCAGAATATTTTTTCCTTTTCATCTGATGTACAGTTACTGTGTTTGTTTAAATCACAACATTGATTTGTCTTCTGGAAAACTGTTTTAAAATGCAGAATAGGAATATACTGGATCATTTGGTAGAAATCACTGGAAGTTCTACTCAGCGATGCAATGTGATTTATAGTTTCATTTCCAATTCATGCCCAGTTATGTCCTATGTAAGATCCATAGATAGTTCAGCAGTGTCCTTAATAAGTGTGGACATGCGATAGAAAAATGAAGACGTGATTCGTTCAGCTACTGATGAAAGTTAAACAACCTTTCTACTTTCTATTCCTTTTACTATAAAGATGTGTTTCCATGATTCAAGAGAGGAGTGAGGAAAAACAAAGGACACCATTATCTGTGTCTTTTTGTACTAACACTTTATGGAAAGGTCACCTCCATAGCCACACTATTTTTAAGGAAAAGAGCAGCTGAAAAATAAAATATCAACTGCAGCAAAAATTTAAATACACCTTGCTTTAACCTTAAGAAATTCTCTACCTGCTGGAATCTACCCAAGGCTTTTGCTAGACCTTTTGGTGAACATTTCTCTTCTAAACAGCCAGTTGAAGCCCAACTGAGTGATTATTGTCCTCAAAACTTTTAGATCCATCCCATGAGTTTCTTGCTTGTCTGAAAGAGTGAGAGAAGAAGAGAGGATGAGTATCTTTCACTGTCTTTGACTGTTACACTCCTGAGAATTTCACTGTATTCTTTAACATCTGCATTTCACCATTGCACATAAACTTGCATGTCTCACAGGAGCTGCTTTAAGTCTTCTTTACTCCTAATACTCTTGGAAAAAAAACACAATTCATTGTCATCCACACAGTCATTAGTAATCTCTCAAGTTTTTCTTATAAATAAAATCTTATTTTCCTCTTTATAGATCTTCATAACCTATAAACTTCAGAATGTGTTACTTCTTAAATTTAATATATTTTCTTCCTGACTTTTATGACAGTATTGAAGACAGTATCTCAAATAAGTTGGTAATGATATTTTATTTCAAGATCCTGCAAACTAATTGTGTGATTATTCAAATATAATTAATACCAGAAAACTGACAACAGAAAAAGTCTTCCTCTGCATCTTTCCGCAAATTAATCTCCCGTGACTGCAGTGAGATACAACATAATAGTAGACAATTCCATTCTGACCTTTAAATCAAAACAACATTTATCCTTCTGTTGTTATTAATTCTGAATATAAAGGGTAACAGATGTTGAGAGATGATACTTCTTTGTCCATTTACTACATTAATTTGATTTTTTTTTTTTTTAATTCCACAGCTAGTTTAAGACACACATGTTCTTCACATCCTTCTTTTGTTTATGGAGGTAGTGTTGTTCTAGAATTTTTTCCACAATTTTTCTATTCCTTTTCATTAATCTGATTACATGTCCATAGAGAAAAAGGACTAGAAGGGGCCTTGAAAGGTCTTTTAGTCCATTAAACTGAGTCACTCCTTCATCGCCTACTTTTTCTAGCCATCACCAAAGCTGGAGACTCTGTATGCTCTTCATCAACCTATTCCAAGGTTATTCCTTGCTTGTTAAGCAACTTTTGGTCAATGCCTAACTGAATAATTCACAAGAACTGTGTTCTCTGGTTTGTGGGGTCTTTCACCAAGACTCAAGATTTGGTGTGCATCAGAACAATTAGTCATGTGTGTTTAGTACAGTCTTGAGGCCAGGGTTGTGATGTGTTTGTCACCATCAGTGCACAAAGTATGGCTGAGGGACATCTGCAATGAACTGATGTTCCATTTCCAGTTTAGCATTGATATAACAGCGTGTTCACAGAGTTCTTGGAGATGTACTAATTAAGTCTTCACTTTCAGTAAGACAAACACATCATTTTTGGTATTAGCAAATACAAATGTGTCTGCAATGTGTCATATAGATATGAGCAGAGTGAACATTAGATTTTGAAAAAATATATAGCTCTTCTAAAAATCTTTATGGGTTTTTAGCTTATTTTGTCCTCCATCTACCTCCTTAGCTTCCTTGAAGGGAATCAATCATATTTTTTCCCCTTTGAAAATGTCCTGGAGATTGGTTTAGGCCACTTTGTTTATAATAAAACACTTGCCTTATTTTTGGATCGAGGTTTGCTTTCTCTTGGGTCTTTTTTGCTGCTCAATCAGCAAATGGCACTGGCCAAAACTGATTCATAAGTCTTGACTGGACTCCTGCTTTTGGGGAATTTCATCCATATTCGGTTAAATGCTTACAGGTACACACATTTATTTCCAGCCCTTTTGTTTATACCTGCTGAGTTTGATTTCCCTCTAAAACCTCTTTATTCTGATGCGATGGAAATTAGTTGCACAATGAAATTACACTTATGTTTCCAACAGTAGAAAAGAGAAGAAAATCAAGACCTTGAGAAATAGTCATGAGTATAAGAACATACAAGGCACGTTTTAGCTTTGTGTTGCTGTTTTGGAATTTTTAGCTATGCAACAATAAGTTCACGTACACATACACACACCAAAAAAAAAAGTGATTTCAAACACTCCACAGGGATTAAGCAGTTGGGTGAGAGGTTTCTCGCTGTGTTATGGTAGCAGTCTGAACCCCGTAGCAAAATTACCCTCCTCGTGTGTGGCACTGTAGAAAAAATCCCATTATTATAAATAATAATGCAAATTAAAATAACAGTACAGAGTATCAAGCCTTACGAATGTGCTATTATTGTAGCAGTGTGAAGAAGTGGGAGCAAACGCCAGCGTGCGTGAAATCCCTGTTTGGGAACAAGCAGGAACGTTGTATATTTGTTTGTATAATTATACAGTGTATGCATTTCCCAAAAGGGAGGCAACAAAATATTTTCTGTGTTTTCTTCTCTAATTAAAGCACAAGTTGTTTATTACAAGGCTGCATTAAAGTTCTTTCGCTCTGTTATAACAGGAGGCTGGCTCGCTCTACACTACTGCTTATCCCCTTGTTTGGAATTCACTACACGGTGTTTGCCTTTTCTCCTGAAAATGTCAGTAAGCGGGAGAGACTAGTGTTTGAATTGGGACTGGGATCTTTCCAGGTGATTATACAGTGAATTCTGCTTATGTTAAAAAGAAATTTCTATTCATTATATCCATTTTGCATGCACAGTCCTCAGGCTGTGTGTTTATTCATTTATGTATATGTTTTGTATACTAGGATTCTGTTTTCATTTGTTTGTTTGTTTGTTTGTTTGAACTCCAGTTATTTTCTAGCATTTACTGAAGAATTTGAATTACATTTCTTTTTCTCTCCCATTTACCCAGGGTTTTGTTGTTGCTGTTCTCTATTGTTTCTTGAATGGGGAGGTAAGACTTTTAATATTTAACCTCCCCCACTAACCATCCCCATTCCATTTCCTTGTGGGAGTAACTGCTATTTTAATCTTTTACTGTAACTCATCATCTACCATGTTCCTTAATACCTTAGGCTGAACACTACATTGTCTCAGCACAAGAAAGGGGCTGTGTGATGTCTTTATTAAACCAAAACATTGGTCTTTCCAGAGATGACGGCTCAGATTAATGCTCCCTGCCAGAGGCAGGGACTATACTGGGCTTTTTGGTTATGTTATCCCAAGCACAGAACTTTGCACTTGTCTTTGTTAAACTTCACACGGTTCTTGCTAGCCCACTTTTCCAACCTGTTCTGTTCTCTCTGTAAGGTGACTTCCCCATCTGATATGTCCACCTCACCACCCAGACTGTTGTCATCAGTCAATTTGGTGAGGGTGCTTTCAGTCCCATCATCCAGATCATTTATGAAGGTGTTAAATGGTATGGAGTCCAACATCAGTCCCTAGGGGAGCTCACTAGTGACAGGCTGCCAGTCTGAGTGAAAAACATTGCTCACCACCCTCTGAGTGTGGCTTGTTAGCCAATTTCCCACCCATCTTTCAGACCATCTACCCAATCTATATCTTGCCTGCTTCCTTAGGAAAAGGCTGTGGGAAATAATGTTAAATGCTTTACTGAAGTCCAGATAAACAACATCCACTGCTCTCCCCGTGTCGACAGAACACATTATTTTGTTGTAGAAGATGATCAGGTTAGTCTGACATCATTTGCTTTTGGTAAATCCTTGCTGGCTTTTCCCAATCACCTGCTTCATTTGTTTTGTGATAGTTTCTAGGTCTCATTCCATTGTTTTCCCAGGGACTGAAGACTAGTGGGCCTGTAGTTTCCTGGGTCATAGAATAGAATAGAATAGAATAGAATAGAATAGAATAGAATAGAATAGAATAGAATAGAATAGAATAGAATAGAATAGAATAGAATAGAATAGAGCCTCTTTTGAGCCCTTCTTGTAAATAAGTAAGACATTTGCCTTCTTCCAGCAATCAGGGATATCCCCTGATTTCCACGACTTTTCAAATGTTATAGACAGTGGCCTTGTAACAGTCAGCCACTTCTCTTAACACCTAGGGGTGGACTCCATTTGGTCCCATAGATTTATGTGAGTTGAGAACCTGCAAGAGGCCATAGACGAGACTTTTCTCCATGACTGGTAAGTTGGCATGTGTCGTCGTAGCTACTTGGCCTGTTGACCTGGAGTCCAGCTGCACAAGTAAAGACAGAGGCAAAGAACGTATAGAGAACCTTTGTCTTGTCAGCATTATGAGTGACTGGTTTCCCTGTGCTGTTTAGCAACTTGCCTTTGTCTTCCCTGTACTTCTGCTTACTGCTCACAAATCTGAAGAACCCTTTCTTGCTGTTTTTGACTTTTTAATCAATTTTCAGTTCTAGCTGAGCTATAAGCTTCCAGACTGCATTTCTGCATGCCCTAGAAAGGTTCTTGTAGTCCTTGATGAGTATTTAGCTGCCTTTCCATAGCCAGTATGCTTTGTTCTTTGCTTTTAAGCTAAAGCTCATTGTTAAGACAACTGGTCTCTTACTCTACCTTCTTCCTTTCCCTTTGTAGGGAATGGACTGGTCTTGTGCTTCCAAAAGGCTGTTCTTGAGCCTTCTTCCCAGCACTCACAAGCTTCTTCATCGTCCATGAATGCTTCCCATGGAATCCCTTGCAGCTGGGCTCTGAGCATATTGAAAGCTGCTCTTCCAAAATCCAGAATCTTTGTCCTACTACTGGTCTTCAGTGCGCTTAGCAATTCCCTGAACTGCACAGTGTTATGATCACTGTATCCAAAGCTACCATTGGTAGTTAGTTATGTTGCCAAGTAAGTCTTCTTGGTTTGTGAGCAATAAATCTATCAATGCTCTGTCCCTAGTCAACATTTCCAGCATCTGTAGCTGGAACGAATCCTCAGGAACCTGATGAAAGACTTGTGTGCCATTGTTTGTTTGCCCAACAAATGTCTGGGTACTTTAGGTCACCCATGAGAACCAGGTTCTGTTGGCCTGAGACTTCCTTAAGCACTCGAAGTAAGGTTTCATAAGCCTAGTCATCCTGACTGGTAGGTTGATAACATAACAAAAGATCCCCCTTGGTGACAATTCCTCTAATCTTGATCGAAAGACATTCGTTAGAACTTTCATGGTCTCCATATCTCACCTCCATAGATTCAAATTTCTGTTTTACAGAAAGAGCAACTCCACCTCCTGTTCTTCTCTTCCTATCTTCCCAAAAGAGTTTGTAGCCATCTATTCTGGTCTTCCAGTCATGTGAGTTTTCCCACCAAGTTTCTGTGTTTTCTATAATATCATAACTCTCTGACTGGGCACAGAGCTCCAGTTTCTCCTGTTTGTTGCCCAGACTACACACATCGGTATATACAAATTTGAGGTGACAGGACTTATAGTTCTTGCCTTTGGAGAGGGTTAGAGGAGCATTCCTCACTACTCTGGTAGGTGAACTCAATCAACCTGCTGCTTAAGAATATGCAGATGTCACAGCTTGACACTGTCCTCCAAGTTCATTAGTTTAAAGTTCAATTCACTAAGTCAGCCAATCTGCTAGTGCAGATTCTCCTGCCTCTTCTAGGTAGGTGTATCCTATCTCTCCCCAGTAGGCTGTATTCACTGAATAATGCCCTATGGTTGTGGAAAACAAAACCCTGGCAATGACACCAGCCACGAAGACAGTTATAAATCTGCATGATGCATCGACTTCTTCCTGCACCCCTATCTCTGAACTGGCAAGACAAAGGAGAAGACAGCTTGGGTATCTGTTCCTTTCACTTGCATCTCCTGGGCTATGAAGTCCTGCTTGATCTTGCCCAGGCTTTGCTTTACGGTGTCACTGGTGCTCACATGGAAAAGAAGCTGGAGACAGTAGTCTGTGCTTTTAACTAACTGTGTTGTGGCAATCTCTCTGTGACGTCTGGGATCTTAGCTCCTATCAAGCAGAAAACTTCACTTAACTGTGCATCAGGCCAACAGATGGGTGCCTCAGTGTCTCTCAGCAGAGGGTCACCCACTACTAGCACTTGCCACTGCTTTTTGCAGTTTTTAGTATGTACTGCTGGTACAGGTTCTCCCTGTGAATACTGCTCCTTGGTTTCGTATGCTGACAAGGCTTAATACCTGTTGCTGAGTGGTACATAAGACGAAAGGGAGTGAAGTGATAACCTGTTCCCATGAGGTCACCAGAGACAATGGAACCTCCTCTCCAAGGTGCTGTCTGTTCTTCATTGAAGCTCTTTGTGTGGTGGTCCTTGGAGGTCAATGCCACAAGGCCCTAATATTTCTTCTTGAAAAATCTCCAATAACACCCTATTTCTTGTTCACCCTCCCTAACACAACATAGCTTGCTAACTTGCTTCTGAAGCTCCTCCACCTGCTGCCTGAATGACTCCACCAGAGCCCACCTTGAGCAGGTAGAGCTTCTACCTTCCTCCATTCAGGAGGCAGGGTTGCAGTCTTTACCTCCTACCACCTTGACAGCAGGTTCCTGACAGGACACTCTGTCTGGGTGGCTGCCTCTACTCTTCCCAAACCAGAGCGACTAGGCAGCTGATTGCTGTCTGCTGCATAGCGCAGCCCTTGCCTGGTCTCTACCACCATGTTTCCAAAAACCTCGAAGCACTGACTAATAAATCCTCCTAATTCCCTGGAGACCTGAAGCTGTTTGATAGGCTTGCACAGCCACCAGCTAGCTCAGGGGACAACTGGGGTTGCAGCCGAAGCCTGCGGGTGAGCAGAGCAGGCAGCATCCCAACAACTGGTAGAGTGCACAGCCCTTCCTATGTGAACTGTCGCACAAACTGCTGATGCCGCTCCCAACAGATGCCATGTCCTATTCCTGATGCTACACCCAATGGATACAACATCCTATTGCTAGTGCTGCTCCCAAGAGATGCTGTGTCCTGTTTTCAATCCTGGTTGGGCACTCCTCAGGAGCTGGTTATATGCAGCTTTCCACGGTTTGACTTGACCATGGGGACAGCTGGCACCACCCAGGCGTTACCAACCTCTCTCATGAGACTTGACATCTGCCAGCCAGACCCTCCACACACAGCCCAAGGGTGTCAGATACCCAGAAAGGTCCCCAGGCACCCCTTGATTACCTTGCAAGCCTCACATTCCTCTCAGAACATGGCAGCTGCTACTGCTGCTGCTAACAACAGCTTCCCATCTTTTTTTTTTTCACATTCACCCATTCTGATCTGCAAATTGAAATTCCTCTGTCTTTGTTTATCAGACTGAATACCTGAGATAATAGTTTTCTAAACTAATGGAAAAGACTCCCTCCTCAAGGCTGCCTTAAGATCAATATCTACAGTTAATCCATTCTTTCCTCCACTGATATAGATCTATTGTGCAGTCCAACGGGAGAAGAATTCTCCTAAAATCACTTTTTTTTTTCTTTTTTTCAAGGCAGCTGAAACCATTTATTTCTACCAGTTTTAGTGTAGTATGTGTTTTATGCTCATTCACATACAGCATGCAATATCTGGTCTCTAGTACAAAAGGTCTCCTCCTTGATCCGAGTTATTCCTTCTCAGATAACAATAACAGTCTTTTCAAGTTCCTTAAACAATCTTATAGTTCATCTTTGCTTATGGGCTTAGTCAAGGTGACTGTTAAATGACTCATAGGTAAATGTTAAAGCATTATTTGTGGCTCAGCTCCATGTAGCTCAGAGGGTGAATTCTGGATCATGCCTTGCTGGAATTAGTGGCTGCATTCATACTTCACCAGCTGACATTACTGGATATCCACCTCTCCCACCTACTACTGTTGTTTCTTCTATTATCTTCCTTGAGTGCTAAAAGAATAGCCAGAAGGTCTTGTCTAAAACTAATCTGGAGATAAGCACCTTCCAAGGTAACATGCACAGTGTGTCAGATTTTTTGTGACTCCTTGCAGGGAAAGGGTGGTGGTTCGTAGTCAAACCAACACACCAGATTAATTAAAAACATTTTATCTCTCAAGATGTTAGAGAATGTCTTGTTCCTCCACTAAATTACTTAGTGTAAGATAAGGTTCATGTTTAGTATATTACACTGTTTACAAATGGAAACACTATTTTCTTTTTACAGAGATGATATACCTCCATACTCTATCTAATCTATATATATATCTTTACTTAACCAGAATAGAAATTTAGGGATACTAGAAGGAGAATGTAACTTTTCCAGTTGGATTTTTCCTCCCTGTAGTTAGTGTCCATACAGCTGAAGAACTTGTTTAGCATTTTGGCATATGCTGATCATTTTTGACAATTATATTACTCTAGAAAAATCTGTCAATGATTGTTAAAGAGAAGAAGAACATGTTTGACACAGCAGCTCATTGGAGACTGGAAAATTATATTGGGAGAATATCTTTACATATTTTCTTGTTCTTATGGTTCAGGCTACTGTCAGGAATAAATAATGATCTGCCTAAATGTTGGTCTGAGCTATTATGATTTTCCTTATTTTAAATTTTTACTGTCTTACGTATATATGCACACACATGTGCATAGACCTACCAAGATTGCCAGGTAATCACTGATGAATGAGAAGTAGAAAAGCTGTAGAATTATTTGCTTATTTTCTAACTGTATTTCTGAGCATGGATTGGTTTACTGTTGGTGATTTACCCATGAAAAAAGCTCAAGGGAAAGGAGAGTGTCATAGATGTATATGAATCCCAAAGCTGTTGTCTGTTTAGAGATGATCTGAAAGTAGGAGGCAAACTTTTTGGTAGACATGCATCCATAATGTCAGGTGAGAGACAAATAGCCTGACTGACAGGCTATTTCATTACTGTCTAGTACCTTTTGGTTACTGGGTTCTTTGACTCCTTGTTATGTATTTGGTACTGGCCATTGATGAAAACAGGATACTTTTTCCAAGAAGCTAGCTAAAGAACTATGTTGGAGTTAGTGTCAAACAGGATACTTTTTCCAAGAAGCTAGCTAAGGAACTATGTTGGAGTTACTGTTAAACATGTCTGCTATGCACCTCTAGGCTGATCCTAAATTATCTGAGGTCAAAGACACAGATTAGGCTGATCCTAAATTATCTGAGGTCAAAGATACAAAGCCTGGGCTGTTGTTTCCACTACATTCCTGGACCTCTTTCAGACATGGAGAAGTCACTTCAAATTTTGCTGAAATGAGGAGTTTAATAACAGTCTTAAAAATTGTGGGTTTTTTTCTAAACTTGATAATTTGTCAGCATGTCCTCGAGCGGCTAAGTACATAAAAAATGACCTTTTGAAGTTTCTCCCTAAAGGTGCAATCAGAAATAAAGAGAAAATGGAGGAGCTGGAAAGTCAACCGATATTTTGCTGTGGATTTCAAACATCGTCATCCTTCTCTAGCGAGCAGCGGAGTGAACGGGGGGACACAACTCTCCATTCTGAGCAAGAGCAGCTCTCAGATTCGGATGTCCAGCATAAATGCGGAGAACCTAGCGACATGAGCAGCTAAGGAAAACAAATCAGTCAACAATCAAACCAAAAACCATCCCTTTAAAAAGAAAAAATATCGTAGTTTTTGTGGTGGTGTAGGTCTTTTTCCTTTCCTTTTCCTTTCCTTTTCCTTTCCTTTTCCTTTCC